TGACAGGCAGAGTGGACAGTGAGAGAGAGAGACAGAGAGAAAGGTCTTCCATTTTCCTTTGGTTCACCTCCCAATGGCCACTGCGGCCAGCACACCGCACTGATCCGAAACCAGGAGCCAGGTGCTTCTTCTGGTCTCTGTGTGGGTGCAGGGCCCAAGCACCTGAGCCATCCTCCACTGCCTTCCCGGGCCACAGCAGAGAGCTGAATTGGAAGAGGAACAACTGGGACAGAATCCGGTGTCCCGACCGGGACTAGAACTGGTGCTGGCGCCACAGGTCGTAACTCTTTCAAATAAATAAATAAATCTGGTCTTGGTTGCTCCACTTCTGACACAGCTGTCTGATGTGGCCTGCGAAAGCAGTAGAGGATGGCCAAGTTCTTAGGCCCTGCACTCATGTGGGAGACCCCCGGAAGGAGTTCCTGGCTCCTGGGAGGCAATAGGTGATGGCTCAAGTACTTGAGTCCCTGTGGAACATGTGTGAGACCTCGAGTCCCTGATTCCTGGCTTCAGCCTGACCCAGCCCCAGCTCGAGAGATCATTGTTTCTCTCTGTTGTTCTGCCTTTCAAAAAAATACATGAACAGACATTAAAAAATGTTTTAGGAGCCAGCATTGTGGTGTAGCAGATGCACTTGTGACAGTCATCCCATATTGGAGCCCAGTTTAAGTACCAGCTAGTATGCTTCTCTGATGCAGGTTCCTGCTACTGCACCTGGGAAAGCACTGGAAGATGGCCCAAGTGTTTGGGACTCTGTGTCCCTGTGGGACCCTGGATTCGGCTTGGCCCAGCCCTGTCTCATGTGGCCATCTGGGAGGTGACCCAGTGGGTGGAAGATTTATGTTGCTCTTTCAAACGAACTCTTAAAGGAATTAACGCATGAATTGTATTGTCAATGAGTGGTCCAAGAACCACCTAAGAATCTTATAAAATCTTCACTACTGGGGGATGCATTTGGCCGAGCAGTTAAGACACTGGATTAGGGTATCTGTGTTCCCTATGCCTGGATCCCATGCCCACCTCTGGCTCCTTGCTAATACAGCCCTTGGAAGGCAGCAGAAATGGCTCAAGTAATTGTGCTCCTGCCACCCATGTAGGAACTGGATCTACCCTCGGGCCTTGGCCCACCCCTGGTAGCCCCTGGCCTATGGGGGAGCTAACCAGTCAAGTAGAACCTTCCAAATAAAATAAACTCAGAGGCGGCTGGTGCTTTGGCACAGTGAGTTAAGCCACCACCTGTGACATTGGCATCCCGTATGAACACAAGTTTGGGCCCCTTGGAGACTCAAGTTCTAGACTCCTGGCTTCAGCCTGGCTCAGTCCCACCCAGTGTGGCCATCTGAGGAGTGAACCAGTGGATGGAATACCCCTGTCTCTCCCTCTCCTCCAGGTTTTTTTTTTTTTTCCAGTTTTTTGACAGGCAGAATGGACAGAGAGAGAGAGACAGAGAAAGGTCTTCCTTTTACCATTGGTTCACCTCCCAATGGCCACTGCTACTTCCTCAGTCTCACTAACCAGTACTTTAGACCTTCAGTAACTAAGTGGCTAGTACTTACCGTGTCAGTCTGTGGCGATCTAGAACATCCCCTTCATGAATGTCACACTAGACAAGGGTGGTATCTTGTCAGGATCAACTGCATCAGAATCTGCACTTACACCTGAAACACTGGCTATGAAACCTTCCTACCACCGAGTCACCCAGAGAGCTGGACAGGCTGTTGAATCCCTGCCCTCCCAAGTTTTGAATTGAGTGGGTCTGTTAGGCAATGCCGAATTTAGGTTTTCAAAGTTCCTATGTGAGATTGATGCTGCTCATGGAAGGACCACACCCGAGGAACGACTGGTATCAAGTAATCAAAATCAGAACTCTTGGTTGGGACCTAAGAATCCACATTATCACAAAGAACCCTAGAATTTCTTTTAAATTATAGGCCCATTACATAAGGCAGAAGATGCAATGTTTTTCTGTTTCTGGCTTATTCCATTCAACATGTCCTCCGGTTGCAGCCATTCTGCTTCTTTCATAGCTGAACAATATTTCATTATATGTATATACCATTTTCTTTATTCATTCATCTGATGATGGACCCCTTGGTTGATTAGAACCCTGTAACTTTGGTACAGTGCTGGGTTCAAGATCAAACAGGGCTGAAGACATAGGGAATGAGAATTAGGAAGCTCATGAAGTCAGAGAAAGAACACTGGTTGACAGACTTGGTTGCCAATAATCTTAACTCTATTTATCTTGTAATCATGGCACAGTTATGAGACTGGGTTGCTGATTATGAAAGGTCCCTGCCACACACAGGAGGCAGCAGGTGATGGCTTAAGGGCTTGGGCTCGTTCCTCTCACATGGAAGACCTAGATGGAATTCCAGGCTCTGAGGCAAACAAGCAGATAGGAAACATCGTTATGCCTTTCAAACAAAACATAAAAGTGAATATTTTAGTCTGCATTCCCACGTCAGTGTCTGGGTTTCAGCCCCAACTCCGCTCTCAGTGTGGACGCTGAGAAGCGGCTGTGCCATCTACATGGGAGGCCTTGACTGAGTTCTGGGCCTGGCCCAGCTCCCACTGTTGCAGGAATTTAGGAAATGAAGGAGCAAGTTTCTGCTTCTCATAACAAATTTCGTGGCACAGCAGGTTAAGCTGCAGTTTGGGACACTTGCATGCCATACAGGTCTGAATGTCTGGCATCAGGTCACACCTCCACTTCCAACCCAGTTTCCTATACTTCCAGGGATGACTCCAGTGCTTTAGTCCTGAAACCCCCATGGGAAAACTGGATGGAGTTCCTGCCTCAGCTCCCACTGTTGGGGAGTGAACCAGCAGCGTGTCACTCTTTCAAATGATGAAAGAACAGATTCCTCTCACAAATGAAATCATTCAATCACCCAATATTACTGACATTTTTCATTTCAGAAGACACACGGGGCAGTTGTTGGGTTCAGAGGATAAAATGCTGTTTTGGAGACATCACAGGGCCTGGACTGAATCTCAGCTCCTCTGATCAGATCAAGCTTCCTGCTAATGTACATCCTGGAAGGCAGATAATAGCTTATGTACTTGGATCCCTGCTATGCATGTAACAAAGAGTTCCTGTTTAGTAAACAGATGGAAGATATAAACTGGCTCTCTGCCTTTCCAAAATAAAAATTGGGGCCAGTGCTGTGGTGCAGTGGGTTAAGCTGTGGCATTCAGTGCTGGGATCCCATAGTCAGAGGTTTAGTCTAGCTGCTCCACTTACAATCCAGCTCCATTAATGCACCTAAGAAAGCAGAAGACAGCCCAATGCTTGGGTTCCTCCCAAAAAGCTCCTGGTTTACCTGGCCCAGTGTGGCCATTTGGCAAATGAACTAGTGGATAAAGTTCTGGTTCCCTCCCTGTATGTAATCAACTTTTAAAATGTCTTAAAAAGCAGACAGAAGCTTGTACGTCTTTTTGTTTTACAGAGAAATCTTCCACCCACTGGTTCACTCTCCAAATAGCTAGGAGCCTAGAACTCCACCTTGGTCTCTCACATGTGTGGTTAGGGCCCTATCATCTAGTACTTGGGTCATCTTCCACTGCTTTCCCAGTGCATTAGCAGAGAGCTAGATTGTAAGGGAAGTGGCAGGGACTGGCACCCATGTGATGCCAGCATTCCAAGTGGGCCGTAACCCACTGTGCCACACCACGGGCACCTAACTAGTACTTAAGAGCAAAGCAAGACTGGTAGTATCCTAGGTTTTCACCAAACCCATTAAGAATTGTCTGGGATGGGTGGGTGTCTGGGCCCTACTGCCAATGCTTAAGTCTGTCCCTTCCTTCTTTCTTTGAAAGGCAGAGTGGAAAAAAAAAGGCCAGAGATTCCCCCTGTTGGTTCATTCCCAAGTGCCACAGTTGCAACAGCCAGGGCTGGTCTGGTCTGAAGCCAGGAGCTCCATCCATTTCCCACATGGGTGGCAGGGACCCAAGCACTTGGACTATCAGACCATTAGCAGGGAGCTGGATCAACAGCACAGCAGCTGGGACTCAAAGCAGCACTCTCATATGGGATGCTGACATTGTAGGTAGTGGCTTAAATCACTTTGAGACACATGACTTCCCATCCCCCAAGAACTGAATATTGCACTCTTGTTTCCTTCCTTACCTCCACAACCTTCTGTAAAACACTAGTCATGCTATCGTATTTGAGAATTCATGCAACAAATACTTAGGTCTTTGACACATGCCTACTGCCAAGCAAAGCAATGATATACAATGCTTTCACTGGTAGGAAGTGCTTAGGCCCTGCCACCCAGGTGGGAAACCTGGACAGAGTGCCTGACTTCATCCTGGCCAAGTTCCAGCTGCTGCATTCATTTGGGGAGTGAGCCAGTGGAAGGAAGAGAGGTCTTCTATCCTCTGGTTCACTCCCCAGATGACTCCAACTTCTGGAGCTACAGCAATCCGAAGCCAGACGCCAGGAGTTTCTTCTGGGTTTCTCATGCGAGTGCAGGGGCCCAAGAACTTGGGCCATCTTCTACTGCTTTCCCAGGCCACAGCAGAGAGCTGGATCGGAAGTGGAGCAGCTGAGACTCAAACCAGCGTCCATATGGGATGCCGGCACTGCAGGCAATGCCTTTATCTGCTACACCACAGCACTGGCCCTCCTAGCACTTTTAACACACTGCCTGGCACTGCACCTGAATTACTGGTCATAGGACGTGTCGAGGGGCAGGCCTATGGCATACTGGTTAAGTTGCCTATCCTGGCTACTCTGCTTCTACTCTAGCTACCTGATAATGCACACCCTGGGAAGGCAGCGATTGCTCAAGGAGTTTGGGACAAGCGCAGATTGAGTTCCCAGCTCCTGGCTTTCATTTGGCTGTTGCAAGCATTTGGGGAGTGAACCAACCAAAAGCCCGCTCTCTTTCCTCTTGAAATTAAAGTGCTGAAATACTACGCATTTCTGGGCTATGACAAATACAGCAGCTGTGAGGCAATGAAAACTACCAAAATGTAGAAGCTCAAAGATGTAGTGGAGGACAACACATTCAGTTTTATTTCAATCAAATCACAACAACTTCCTTTTTCAACTGCTGCCAAGTGCATCTACAATTTTCTATTACAGATCCACTTTAAGAAGGTCTCCTGTGACATTACAGCAAGCCTCTTTATTCAACAGAGGAATAGTCCCAAGTTCTTTCTCAAATAAAAATAAAAATTCCATTCCAGTAAATGGTAAATACATGAAGTTACGGTAAACCAGACACTTAAAAGGACAGCCAAGAAGTCTTCCAACAGTTTATTAGAAAGAATGTAGACATTTAAAAAAATCCCCACTGTCATGAACATAAATTGAGGTTTTCAGCCCTGGTATAAGCTGAACCAGAAAAAAAAAAGAAATAAAAAAAAATTTCCAATAGTGTATTAACATTTTCTTCACTCATTTGCCATACTGACAGTGCAAATACAAATCTGGTCTAAATGTACAGACTCTCAAGCAACAATGTACAGCTTTCTTCGTCCTCCATGCTAAGAGATGTAAAAGCTTAAGGGCCAAACAATACCAAATGTATAGGCTTCAAAAACCATCTAAGTTAGGGCATTCACTAGTTTTAGCTAAGATACATCTGGAACACTGACAAGTGATCACTTACATAGAATAATGTGAAGTGAATTTTTTGAAAAATAAACTTTAGTGGAACACTCCTGAAGGATACACCAGAGGAATAGCCGGTTATCAGTTTAAGGTGTCAGCCAATTTGTTTCAGCCACGTTTGAGTCCATGTTCTAAACCCTAAAATTTACTTATCTTTCCCTAAGCTGAGCACTTCCTATCATGTCAGTATCTATGTTATGAAGAAGTAAAGGAGACTTAAGTGAAATGTTTTTATTTATCACAACTGCTGTATCAATTATCTAGGACCTCAACAGCTTCATGAAGTCTGGGAAATGTTCATGCATAAGGTTATTGCCTTAGCTGACTTAAAACTGCCCCTTACAATGGTACATATCAACCCTTAGTGAAGCCTTTTAAAAAAACAAATAGGTTGAAAAATGGGTTAAAGGAGGCAAATACAGCATCCACCTTTAGAGCTATCAACTCAGGAATTCTCTCAATTATGAAATTTTGCAGAGAAATCACTTTCTCAAAATCCAGGTGATGACAATACTCCTTATTCCAGATCTGGCATTTCTGAAAGAATTTAAAAAACATTAATATGAAATACCAGGGAATAATACCAATTTTAAATGAGTCTTATAGGAAAAGTACCAAAAATAAATTAAAAAGACACTTACTTTCATCATCGCTGTCTTGTGAATCCTAAAGAAGTAGGAAAAAAAAAAATTTACCAGGCTTAACAAATTACTCTGTGAACTCAAAAGTTTACCTTTAAAAAGCTGAATTATCATATTCTTTAAACCAAAGTAGCAAAAATACATGGTTACATTAAGTCAAGGAATTAAAGCATCTAATTTAAGGCCAAGTTTATCTATTTGGTGTGAACAAATCAACAGGCAAGCATCTAACCCTTGTAAAAACTAGCATGTGCTTTTGCTAAGAATTTAACCTATCATTTGAATTTGGCCCTAAATCGTCCCCCTCCCACTTGGCATTTCATTAAAGAGGAAAAATGGCTCATGAACAATGGACAATCAACTTTAAATTTAGCTCATTCTGAATTAATTTCCAAACTGCATTCAGTAATTTTCTGGAAGATGTTAATAAAACGCTAACAGAGAGGGGCTGGTGCTGTGGCATAGTGCGCAGAACTGCCGCCTGCAGTGCTGGCATCCCATATGGGTGCCAGTTTGAGCCCCAGCTGCTTCACTTCCGATCCAGATCTCTGCTATGGCCTGGGAAAACAACAGAAGACGTTTCAAGTGCTTGGGCCCCTGCACCCTCATGTGAGACCCGGAAGAAGCTCCTGGCTTTGGATCGGCACAGCTCTGGCCATTGCAGCCATCTGCAGAGTGAACCAGTGGATGGAAGACCTCTCTCTTTCTGCCTAACTCTGCCTTTCAAATAAATAAAAAAATAAAAATAATAAAAAAAAAGCTAACAGGGAATGCTGAGAAAGTAGTCTCAAGTATAAAAAATCTAGCCTCTGACCAATTCTGCTATAAAACTTGTTTATTTAACTTATCATTTTAAGACAAAATAATCTGGGGTAAACACTATGGCCAGGTAAAGCCACTGCTTGCAATGTTGGCATCCCATATGGGTGCTGGTTCAAGCCATGGCCACTCCACTTCTGATGCAGCTCCCTGCTAATGGTCTGGGAAAAGCAGAGGAGATGGCCTAAGTGTTTGGGTCCCTGCCACCCTTGTGGGAGACCCAGCAGAAGTTTGGTGTGGTCCAGCCCTGGCTATCGCAGTCATCTGGGAAGTAAACCAGCAGATGGAAGATTTGTGTTTCTCCCTCTCTATAAACTAACAAAGAAAGACAAAATAAGCCTTAAAGTAACTATTAAATAAGGTACACATAATGCATCTATGCAAAATCTGGCCACTTTAAGGTATGGTCTTTAAAAATGCACACATTTAAAGACTCCTTTCCCTATTGTATTTTTTAGGAGGGGAAAAAAAAAACAAAAAAAAAAACAAAAAACACTAGAAGTGGCCCAAGAAAGTAACCTTAAATTTTATCCTGTAAATACATTGTTTCTTACTATTAAAGTAAACAGAAAATAAAATTTAGACTTACATCATCTGCTCCATCTACTTCTGGCAAATCTACATCCTCATCACCACCCATGTTGTTCATCATCTATGTGAAGTATAAAATTTCAAAGATATTAAATTAAGCCCTAATTGCTAGATTGCATACTCCAGAATAGGTTGTAAATCTGTCAGATTTTTTTGCACATGATAAACTCAAGCACTTTTGTTTTTGCAAAAGGTAGTTACATAAAATCCTGAAAACCTGTAGGGGAGACTAAATTCACCCAGCAAGATGATAGAAATGTTTTAAACATCAAAATCCTGAATAGTGGTTATTTTGGTTAAATAAAGGGGGGTGGGTGGGATTTTTTTTGCAGCTGTTAAAACTTTATCTTAAGATAGGTGTATGTTATTATTTGTAGTATTCTGTAATTATAGTATAAAGAGCCAATAAACAACTATATGACAAATTCTCAAATTTCAGTCGTTTAAATCATAAAGCTAATAGTACAGATTTTGAGGACATAAACAAAGACTAAACTACTATTAACAGATGTGGAAAAATTTATTTCCTCAAATTAACAATTCTCTGTAACATTTGAATTCCAGAAAAATAAAATCCAATATAATATATTAACTTTGTAAATACAGGCATCTGACTTGACATCTTCGTTAAGATGCTTCTTAGGATGCATGTATCCCATATTGGGAGTGCCTAGGTTTGAATCTTGTCTCTGTTCTACATTCCAGCTGCCTGCTAATGCATACCCTAGGTGGCTCAAATTATTGGGTGTTTGCTACTCCAGTAGGAAACCTGAACCGAGGCCCCAGATCCAGTTGGGCTCAACCTTAGCTGTCATGGTATTTAGGGGATGAGCCAGCAAATTTCCTATATCTCAAATAAGCAATATATTGCTAATATTTTAAATGAGTTATTTTTAAAAATTGAGTACTATTAGCCTGGAAGATAAAGCTAAGAGAAATAAGACAGTCACAGAAACAACTGTGATGCTAACATCCCACAGTCTCTAGTTTCTCTGTTTCTGATCCAGTTTCCTGTTAAAAAGCCTGGGAAGGCAGCAAAAGATGGCTGAAGTGCTTGGAAGGGAAAACAAGGAGTTGCTGTTCCAACAGGTATAAAGTTCCAGCTGTATACAAGATGAGCAAGTTCTAAACATCTGCTGTGATGTGCTTACAATTTGTTAAGAGGTGTATCTCATTAAATGTTCTTATCTCAATTAATAAACACACACTCCCCCTAGTCAAATCTCTCAGCACAAAAATTATGGGCAATCCAGTCTTGTATTAACAGGAGGAACTAGTAGTTTTTCCATCTCCAATGATACTCAGTTTCTTTGAGCAGGAAAAATGCTCAAAGCGTGCTAGGCACGGTATTAAGAGGTAAGAATAGAATAGCAAGAGAAAATTTAAAGTATTGAAGAGCTACTTCAAAGGTAAAACAAAGAGAACAAAAACAGCAAGAGAACAATTTTAAGATGTGACTTGTACACAAATAAGGATAATCTCAGCAATATATAGTTCTGTTCTATTGAAAGTGCCAGAATAATTGAGAGATGTTCTAGAATAACTGAGAGATGTTAAATCAGCAGTTGCATGCACAAAGGTGGAAACTTGGCTCTTTTTAACTCTTAGTTCTCAATGAAGAAATACAAATGAAGTCTAGTTAATTCAAAATTTCAAATTACCAATAAGAAATGGATTTCTTAAGTGCACACTGAACTTATAACCCAATATACTCATCTCTAGTACATTTAAGATTTATTCTGCCTACAAATATCATTTTTTCGTTGGCCATAACAATATGCATTTGAGTGACATCTTAGAAAACAGGCTAATTAACCCCCCCCCCTTTTTTTTGCAAACTAAAAATATTCCTGCATACTTCCCAGTGTCAACATCTCACAAGGATTGTGTTTAAAGGTGTTTATTTGTATTTTATAGATAAAAATGCAATACTGTGATCACACCCTCCACCACCGACTTGTTCCAATGCTAGAAGGAAAACTAGGTGTGTTGGACTGATAAGACTGTACGGTTTGTCTTTTGCTTTTACACATCAGCTTTAACAATTCTTTTGAAATCATAGAGGTTACACTTCAAAACTATCACTGCAAAATGATTTTTAAAAACAAAATGGTGCACATTTTGAATACTACCAGGTGCTTACAACCAAATTAAAATGACTATATAGAAATGCACTGCAAGGTCCAGTGCAGTGGTATAGTGGGTAAAGCTGCCGCCTGAAGTGCCCACATCCCATATGGGAGCTGGTTCAAGTCCTGGCTGCTCTACTTCTGATTAGCTCTCTGCTATTGCCTGGGAGAGCAATGGAAGATGCCCCAAGTCCTTGGGCCCCTGCACCCATGTAGGAGACCAGGAAGAAGCTCCTGGCTTCAGATTAGCACAGGTCCAGCCGTTGTAGCCAATTGGGGAGTGAACCAGCTGATGGAAGACCTCTCTCTCTCTGCCTCTGCTTCTCTTAACTCTTTCAAATAAATAAAGCTTTAAAAAAGAAATGCACTGCAGAGGGGTGAGAAAATGTAGTGAAAGGAACTTACCTCAGAGAAACGATCAAAATTAGACATGTCTTCATCTGAATCATCTTCCCAGTCTTTCCAATTATTGAAGTCCACACTAAGCCAATTGAGCTATGGATCAACAAAAACATCACTGTATGTGTGACTAGGTCAATCTGCACTTTAAAACCCACATTATCTAGGGCGTGTGCTGTGGCATAGTGGGTAAAGCTGTCATCTGTGATGCTGGCATCTCGTGTAGGCAGCAATTCATGTCCTGGCTGCTCTATTTCCAATCTACTAGTGGTCTTGAAAAAGCAGTAGAAATTATATAAAGAGAATAAAAATCTTAAAGAAGAATGGGATGGGAGAGGGAGCAGGAGATGGGATGGTTTGCAGGTGGGAGGGTGGTTATTGGGGGGAAAAAACCACTATAATCCAAAAGTTGTAATTTCAAAATTTATATTTATTAAATAGAAGTATCTTAAAAACAAAAAAAAAACAAGTAGCAGAAAATGGCCCAACTGTTGTGCCCCTACCACCTACATGGGAGATCCTGATAAAGCTCCTGGTTTCAGCCTGGCTCAGCCCTGACCAATACAGCCATCCGGGGAGTGAACCAGCGGATGGAAGACTGATCTCTCTCTCCCTCTAACTCTTAATAAACAAAACAAACAAAAACAAAAGAATCCACATTTTTTGAGCTGTGGGGGCACGTAATTAGCACACATATACAAAAAAGGCTAAAATACTCAGTGTGGAGAAAAAAAGGTAGTAATAGTAAATATTGTTTTGTGACTTCACAACACAGGAGGTTTTTTATTTGGCTAGGACAAATGGTAAAAATATTAAACTTTGAAAAAATAAAGAAAAGAAACCTACCTTTGCCCTTTCTTTTGTTAACCTTGGCCATGACTGGCCAGATTCTCCTTTTCGTAAACAACATAAAATTGATCTGTCCGTTCTTTTGTGCTTGGAATCCTAAAAAGAAAAGCATCATCACACCATTTCTCTCCAGTATCAGGACAAGACAGAAAGAAGGACTGTCATTTCTCACCTCTCCTTTCTTACTTCTTCCCTTACGTTCTCTAGACTGAAAAGAAACACACCTGTGACTACCCAGTTTAAAAAAAACAAAACAAAAACCTGGGAAGTTATCATTTTCCCTCCTCCCTTACATAGGGTGAACAGAATAAAGTCTTAGAAGTAGCTTCCTATACTCAAATACTGATAGCAAAAACAAAAACAAGCAGAAAAAAATTTTGAATTAAAGGGGAAAATACTGCAAGACAGAAATATATCTAGTTAGTATCCTAGAGTAAAGGAAAACAGGATTATTATTTTATGTGCAGTTTGCATGAGGAAATCAGAGAAGAAATGCTATCTTTAAATTAAAAAATCTAAAAAAAAAAAAAAAAAGAAAAAGAAAATCAGGATTAATGTCTACTATTTTACTTTTTTTTTTTTTTTTTTTTTTTGACAGGCAGAGTGGACAGTGAGAGAGAGAGACAGAGAGAAAGGTCTTCCTTTTGCCGTTGGTTCACCCTCCAATGGCACGCCACGGTCAGCACGCTGCGGCCGGCGCACCGCGTGTGATCCGATGGCAGGAGCCAGGAGCCAGGTGCTTCTTCCTGGTCTCCCATGGGGGGCAGGGCCCAAGCACCTGGGCCATCCTCCACTGCACTCCCTGGCCACAGCAGAGAGCTGGCCTGGAAGAGGGGCAACCGGGACAGAATCCGGCGCCCCGACCGGGACTAGAACCCGGTGTGCCGGCGCCGCAAGGCGGAGGATTAGCCTAGTGAGCCGCGGCGCCGGCCAATGTCTACTATTAAGGATACTTGAAGTATGTCCATTCCCTCATGATTTGACCATGATTAAAGGGGGCTGTAATTGTAGCAGAGTGGGTTAAGCTGCCTTAGACTAAATCTAGCATCCCACATAAGCACTTGTTTGAGTCCCAGCTGCTCTATGTCCAATCCAGCTCCAGCTCCCTGCTAACGGATCTGGGAAAGAAGCAGGAGATGGCCCAAATACTTGGGCCTCTGCTTCCCACGTGGTAGACTAGGAAAGGGCTCCTGGTGTCTGCTTAGCTCAGCTGTGGCCCCTATGGTCATCGAAGGAGCAAATAAGCAGCTGAAAATCATCTCCTCCATCTCTCTCTCTCCCTACCCCACCTCTGGTTTTCAAATAAATCAATCTTTTAAAAAAAATCAGATTAAAGCATCAAGATTACTTACATTTGGATCAATACAATGAAAAAGGTCAATTTCATTTAAATGCTTAAAATTATCACTTCCTCCAAGACAACTGTTGAGGGAAAAAAAAGAATTAAGTCTTTTCAAAGAGATAAAAAGTAACAAAAACTTCAGTGAAAAACTAAAACAAGCAAGCTGAAGTTAGTTGTCTCAGGTAAGCTTTTCATCCAATGATATTAAATGGCAATTTACCTGAATGTAAGTTTGGATTTTTCAAAATTTACATTAACATCTTTACTGTCTTCAACACAGAATTCAATGAAGACATAGTCCCTTCGATCATACCACTTTGCAGAAGCAGGCTGCCTACAAAGATAAAATTGGACAAAGTCAGGCCAATGAATTGTTTGTAACATCTAAAGTTAAACAAATGAATGATATTACATTCCAAGGTAAGTCAGGGCTCTACCAAGGTTTAGTTTCAGAATGACACCAATTTCCTAACACGAGATTTAAAACATCAAACAATGCCTTACAGAATAACCACTGGTTAGCCCTGTCAGAAATCATTTGCTATTCCTTTATAGCCCTACTCCTAAAACTAAAATTCACAGAATAAAGAAAGTAAACTAATACAATTTCAGTGAAATTATAGTATTCAACATCTCTACTTATGTTAAGAACTATGGGCATTAAAAAGCATGGGTAGGGGCCGATGCTGTGGCGCAGTAGGTTAACGCCCTGGCCTGAAGCGCTAGCATACCATTTGAGCACCAGCACTAGTCCCGGCTGCTCCTCTTCCCATCCAGCTCTCTGCTATGGCCTGGGAAAGCAGTAGAAGATGGCCCAAGTCCTTGGGCCCCTGCACCCACATGGGATACCAGGAAGCCAGGAAGAAGCTCCTGGCTTTGGATTGGCACAGCTCCATCCGTTGCGGCCATCTTGGGAATGAACCAGAGGATGGAAGACCTTTCTCTGTGTAACTCTTTCAAGTAAAAAAAAAAAAGGCATGGGAAATGACTGTCCTCCACCTTTCAAATAAATGAATAAATCTTAAAAGACTACAATAATCACACACACATACACATATAAAATACAACTATGATTGTCCAATTACCATTCACTTTAAATTCTTAGAAATGAAGGGCCACACTGTGGCTCAATGGGTAATGTCACAGCCTGTGACACTGGCATCCTATGTAGACACTGGTTCATTTCTTGGGCACTCCACTTCTGATCCAGCTGCCTGCTAATGGCCCAGGTACCTGGGCTCCTGCCACCTACACAGGAGACTGGAAGAAATGCCTGGCTCTGGCCTGGCCATTCTGGCCATCTGGAGAGTGAATTAACAGATGAAAGATAGCTCCGACTCTTCTCTGTAACTCTTTCAAATAAATAAATCTTCTTTTTTTTTTTTTTTTAAACAGGCAGAGTAGACAGTGAGAGAGAGACAGAGAGAAAGGTCTTCCTTTTTACCGTTGGTTCACCCTCCAATGGTTGCCACGGCCGGTGCACTGCGCAGATCCGAAGCCGGGAACCAGGTGCTTCTCCTGGTCTCCCATGCGGGTGCAGAGCCCAAGCACTTGGGCCATCCTCCACTGCCCTCCTGGGCCACAGCAGAGAGCTGGACTGGAAGAGGGGCAACTGGGACAGAACCTGGTGCCTGGACCGGGACTAGAACCAGGTGTGCCGGCACTGCAAGGCAGAGGATTAGCCTATTGAGCTGCGGTGCCGGCCTCAAATAAATAAATCTTAAAAAAACCTCAGAAATTAGAGGCAAGTAAATGTTGCCCTAGTTTTACCCAGATTATAGATGTTGCTTAAAAGGGAGAAGGGGAGCAATATATAATAAAATACTTTATCTTTTTTTTTTTTTTTTTGACAGGCAGAGTGGACAGTGAGAGAGAGAGACAGAGAGAAAGGTCTTCCTTTGCCGTTGGTTCACCCTCCAATGGCCGCCGCGGTCGGCGCACCGCGGCTGATCCGAAGCCAGGAGCCAGGTGCTTCTCCTGGTCTCCCAATTTTATATATATATATATTTTTTTTTTTGACAGGCAGAGTGGACAGTGAGAGAGAGAGACAGAGAGAAAGGTCTTCCTTTGCCGTTGGTTCACCCTCCAATGGCCGCCGCGGCCGGCGCGCTGTGGCCTGCGCACCGCGCTGATCCGATGGCAGGAGCCAGGAGCCAGGTGCTTTTCCTGGTCTCCCATTGGGGTGCAGGGCCCAAGCACCTGGGCCATCCTCCACTGCACTCCCGGGCCACAGCAGAGGGCTGGCCTGGAAGAGGAGCAACCGGGACAGAATCCGGCGCCCCGACCGGGACTAGAACCCGGTGTGCCGGCGCCGCTAGGCGGAGGATTAGCCTAGTGAGCCGCGGCGCCGGCCACTTTATCTTGATAATAGCTAAAGCTAACAGGTCTTGAGGATTCACTGTACAAGTCTACCTTTTTTGCTTTAAAACTACAATCAAGTTAAAAATTAGCCTGGTTGTTGACAGGAATTCTTATCCTAACAGATTTCATGTTTATTTTCAATAAATTCTGGTAAATGCTTTTGCAGCCACATAATCTGAACATATTTATCAGTACTGTTTACTCTGTAAACAGCAAATTCCATATTAAGGCTATAGTAACAGGGGCTGGCACTGTGGCTCAGAATGGTTAAGCCTTCACCTGCAGTGCCAGCATCCCATGTGGGCGCTGGTTCCAGTCCCCGGCTGCTCCACTTAGAATCCAACTCTCTAATGTGGCTGAGAAAGAATCAGAAGATGGCCCAAGTCCTTGGGCCCCTGCACCCACATGGGAGACCTGGATGAAGCTCCTGGATCCAGCCTGGCCCAACCCCCACCGTCACTACCATTTTGGGTAGCTCTTCCAGTCCATGGAAGAGCTCTCTCTCCCTCCCCTTCTATTTCTGCCTTTCAAATGAATACATAAATCTTTAAAGTAACAGGGGAGCAACCCACTGATGACTGGGTTATTGCAAAGGTTATATCAAAAACTAAGTCTATCAGCTCTTCAGCTTCTGTTCCTATCAAGAACATGGAATCAGGGGACAATCAATCTTCTTCATATTCAAACAATAATCTAGTCATGAAATTGTCATGGGTTGAACTATATTTTCCCCAAATCTTAATGTTGGTCCTGGGACTACTCAGTCCCTCAGAAGGTGGCTGTACTTGGAGATAGGATCTTTAGATGGCAATTAAGTAAAAGTGAGGCTATAGAGTAGGCTTTAACACAAAGAGGAAAGGAACAATATATTGACTAGCTCAAGTCAAGGAGGCTGACCGCATATAAGAATCAACCCAGTTGACCCCATCATTTTGGACTACCAGCCTCAGAAAAATGTGGGGGGAGGGGGGAGTAACTGCTGTTTCAACTCTCCAGCCTGTTTGTTATAGTAGAGCCTTAGCAAACCAGTACAACCATTTCCCATGTCACAATAACCATTTTTTAAAACATACTTATTTTGAAAGGCAGAGTAACAGAGGGAGATCTTCCCTCTGCTGGTTCACTCCCCCCCTTTTTTTTTTAGAGATTTATCTATTTTTATCTGAGTTACAGAGAGAGAGGAGAGGCAGAAGAGAGGTCTTCCATCCACCAGTTCACTCCCCAATTGGCCCCAACAGTCAGAGCTGCGAGGATCCGAAGCCAGGAGCTTCCTCCGGGTCTCCCACGCGGGTGCAGGGGCCCAAGGACTTGGGCCATCTTCTACTGTTTTCCCATGCCACAGTAGAGAGCTGGATCGGAAGTGGAGCAGCTGGGTCTTGAACTGGTGCCCATATGGGATGCTGGCACTTCAGACCAGGGCATTAACCTGCTGCGCCACAGCGTTGGCCCCAAGGGTGGCAGGTTCTAAAATGCTTGGGCCATCCCCTACTCTCCTTTCAGGTGCATTATCAGGGAGCTGGATCAGAAGCAGAGCAACCAGGAATTGAACTGGCACAGGATACAGAATGCTGGCATTGCAGGCAGCAGCTAAACCTGCTGTGCCACTAAGCTGGACCCATACAAAACAATTTAAATTACCTAACCAGAAGGTGTTCTGTAAGCCAAAATTTAATTCTATGTTTGTAGAAGGTTGTTTCACAAAAAAGGAGGGGGCAAAAAGGAGTGAGAGGGAGGAGAAAGAATTTTGTGGACTATAACTCAGTATTTACTAGCTTTGTTTACTCTAAGACACCAAAAATACAATTCTGAGTGAAATGTCCCACACTTAACTAAAGCCAACAATAAACACAAATTGATGTTTATGAAATCCCTTTTATGAAAAAAGATCACATTCTATGCTTTTTTGTCTAGCTTTTTTTTTTTTGACAGGCAGAGTGGACAGAGAGAGAGAGAGACAAAGGTCTTCCCTTTGCCGTTGGTTCACCTTCCAATGGCCACTGCGGCCAGCACATCGCGCTGATCCAAAGGCAGGAGCCAGGTGCTTCTCCTAGTCTCCCATGGGGTACAGGGCCCAAGCACTTGGGCCATCCTCCACTGCTGCACTCCCGGGCCACAGCAGAGAGCTGGCCTGGAAGAGGGGCAACTGGGACAGAATCCGGCACCCCGACCGGAACTAGAACCCGGTGTGCCGGCGCTGCAAGGTGGAGGATTAGCCTATTGAGCCACGGCGCCGGCTGTCTAGCATTTCTATGCTAAACATTAATGCTATACAGCAAACTCAAACAGTAGTGGATGGAAGATATTTCTCTACTTATACCGATCTGCCTTTCAAATAATAAATCTCAGTTTATAGAGGGGCTGGCATTGTGGTATAGTGGGTAAAGCAACCACCTACAGTGCCAGTTCAAGTCCCAGCTACTCTTATCCGATTCAGCTCTCTGCTATAGCCTGGGAAAGCAGTGGAAGATGGCCCAAATGCTTGGGCCCCTGCATCTGTGTAGAGAACTGGCAGAAGCTCCTGGCTTCACATTGGCCCAGCTCTGGCTGTTACAACCATTTTGGGAGTAAACCAGTTTGGATGGAAGACCTTTCTCCATGTCTCTCCCTCCCTCTTTGTAGCTCTACCTCTCAAATATATAAATCTTAAAAAACAAAACAAAAAACAGCTTATCAAAAAATAGAATCAGGGTGTGCATTTGGCCTACTGGTTAGGAACCCTGAATCTTTCATCAGAGAATTATCAGCTGGATTCAATTCCCAGCTGTTGACTTCTGATGTCAACTTCTGCTGATGCAGACACTGGGAGGCAGCAGTGTTGACCCAATTTGCTGGGTTTCTGCCACCCACACAGGAGATCTGGACTGTGTTCCTAGCTCCCAGCTTTGGCCCAGCAGAGCCCCAGCAGTTGCTGGCATTTGGGGAAAAAAAAATTTTTTTTAATGAGTTTATCCTGGTCCAAAAATTTTTAAGTCC